CACAGATATATATATATATATATATATATATATATATATATATATGTTAGTTTGATGTCATTTGATTATAGTCTTATGTTCTAGCTTGTGAGTGATGTCGAAGTCTATATGAACGAAAGCTCGTTCAACTTCAACAAGTTGCTCCAGCTTTTCCTGTAGTGTTTCACCAATATTATGTGCCTGGTTCAGAAACATATCCTCTGGCAGCACTATATCAACCTCCACAAAATATTGTGTCCCAAAAGTATATGCTCTAACTGTGTCGATATGTTTGATCCTTTCGTGGTGATTCCATACTAGATATGTTAATTTTGCAAGAAAATCTGGTGGAGCTGTTCTTCCAATAAGTGCCCACACATTTTCCAGCACCGTCCTTGCCCACGTGCTCATCGTGTAAAGTGCTATCTGAAAACACACAACAAAGATTAATCAACACATATTGCTTTTAGTCCACAATGTACACAAATTAAAGAGCTATATATGATGTTAATATGAACTCACAATGATAGCTCCAGTAGGATCAATCCACCAGTAGAAGTGGATGGCTAAGACTGCTGTCGCTAATCCGATTGAGTTGGTAATTACATCAAAGAAATGGTCTTGAGCATAGGCCCTTACAATTTCATTTTTGAATCTTCGGCAGTAGATCATAAGTAGAAACTTTATCACAGTAACAGAAACCATAATTCCAATCATCCATTTTTCTTTCTCAGGGTCCCTATCAGGATGAGACTGATTTTGAAGCATAGAACCAGAAAACAAATCGATGTTAGTTGTACGTCATTTAACAATCCACTACTAATATTGCAGTAAATCAGAACTCAGTCCTATAATACGAAATGTATTATCACGATACAGATGATTAGAACCAAGTTACATACCTTAGTTATGAGTTGTCTACCAGATTCGAACAATATTTGTAGTCCTAGAGTTGCCATTATGGATGCAAACACAACTAGACCCTGAAAATAGTGCAGCAGATGAGTTCAAACATCCCATCATGCTAGACACATCCTGTGTGATTCATGTTAATGTACATAATGATGCATCAAGCAAAATATATATATTCAGAAAATGAAAAACAGAAGGAATGCATTTATCAAATTGTCACGGAAAAATGGACATTAGGCCTAATTCAACCCTAAAAGCTAATCATGAGGTGCCGGTTGCTCAAGCCAATATAACGAGACAACACATAATTCCCTAAACCAATGCAGGACAATCCAACATATATCTCAGAATGTTGCAGTGTTGTTAACAAGCTTACCACTGGCTGCATTCTCTTCTTTCCAATTGGATAGCGGTACTGGTTCGGGGATTTCATTGCATTAGAAGTGAACCACAAAATAAATCCAGATAAGAGATCTAATAGGGAGTCCAGGGTTGACGAAATTACAGCCAGCGATCTGCTGTCAATAGACGCGTAGACTTTAGCAATGAAAAGAACCATATTTGCTATGTTTGACGCATGAATCGCAATCTTTTCACCCTTAGCTAGCTGCTTCAATTCATCCTGGCAAACATTATTGGTAGATAGGAAAAATAGTGATGATTAATTTGATGAGTATCTGTCATTTCTGTCAAATGTGCAAGATACTAACCTCAGTAAGATTTCCAGGTAAATAACCACATTCATTAATTGTGTCCATCTCATTGAATCCTTCAAGCAGCCTTTCTTGTTTTTTGTAGTATTCAACAACTTTTCTCTGATTCCCTGTACATGATAAACAGATTCCATGAAGTAGTCACCCAAGATTTAAAAAAAAAAAAAAAGTGAAAAAATGACAATGGGAACTTTGATCATCAAACACACTGAGTTTGGCTATCTGAAATCAGCTATTTTAACTTTTAAGTCATACTAGTATTACTCTTGAGTCTTGGAGTTGCTTGTTCTTCAATTACTATATTACTATTTATTGTTCCTTTTACTTCGATTATAGTATTATTATACTGTAGTTACTATTCCTGATTATTTTTTCCAATTTGCTTTGTCATGCCATCTTTAATATTTTGTCGTGACTTTTTCACTTATGTTATTTCTTTTCCCCAACTGCTTTGGTATACTTGTCCTTTGAGTTGAGGGTCTATCAGAAACAACCCTTCTATCTCCCAAGATAGGAGGAGTAAAGTATGTATACACGTTACCCTCCCTAGACCTCACTCGTGGGATTACGTTTAATCAAAACGTATGTTATTGTTGTTGAAAGATAAGTTTCAGACCTATTAGCCTCAACAAGCAGAGGATCTAGTCATGGAACATTTCAAGTAAGAGCAAATTTGAGTCCAATAGAATTGGATTTTGTTGCCTGCTTTGCAGATCACAATTCACAAATAAATCCTCAACCTCTAGAGTTCCGACGTATTCTTAACTATTAACAGAGAAATAATTTACCCCTTCATGTAGATAAATAATTAAAATATGGTTTAGTCAGGAAAAATAGCAATAGACAAGGAAAAAGGCTCAAATATGTCATCGAACTTTGAGAAAAAAACTCATTTTTTCCATATGTTAAAAGTTTGATTCATCTACCATCTCCATTTGAGAAAAGACTTTTATATACCATTGTATGTTAAGTTATTTCCGGTGTGTTACATAGTTAACATCAGCTGAGCACATGAGGAAATATTTGAGAACTGCAACTATCAATAAATTAATGTAATTGTCAACACAAAGAGCAGGTAGAACATTAATATAATAACTATAATACTCAACAGGCATTTTATGTGAGATGATTCATGAGTACAAAAGTCAAATTATCTAATTTTTGTTATGAATTCAAATATAACATTTTTGAAATAAAATTTACATATGAAGAAAATATTACATAAGTCATAATAATTAATCATTCAATTTTTTTTTTAGTTTCTCTTAATGACATGTCACAACATATTTGAAAAATTTGTAAGAGTACTTTTGATATATATCAAACTGTGAAATTTTTTAAATTTCATATTCAATCAAACAAAAGAGGCGGATAAATGGAGTAACGTAACAAATATATTGATCAAAATGCATGTAGTATTTGAATAGGGAAGTGAGGGGGTATTACTGAAAGCGCGAAGTAGACGAAGGAAACTGAAAGATTGATGATCATAAGAGCGGTGTTGAGGAAGATGGAAGTCACTCGTATTAAGTTTCCATGTCGACCCCAACGACATGGAGTGATCAACAACGGATTGAGCAGCGGGAGACAACAACTCCGTCCTAAAACTATCACCACCACCACTACCACCATTACTTCGACTGATGATTGACATGATTTAATTTAGATGAGTTGCTATAGTTATGGTCTTAGTTGAAGACTTTTTATATTTATTTCATATAGAACACTTAGTTGTTTATTAGGAACACATACGGCATGAATATGGGCGTAATGGGAATACAAAGGATTCCGTACCACTCACCCACCGTCCGACCAATTATAATTAAAGACCACAACTAAAACACACTTCCTATAGGCCTACAACATGCACTCCCACCCCCCACCCCCCTTCTCTCTCTACTTAAGTCTTTGCCAACTAAACTAGTAAATTCATGGGAACATTTTGTGTATGGAGTCATTTAACTCATATACAAAAGATTAAAATTGTCGGTTATTATAAGTTATAAATAATTGTTCATAATCAAAGATGAGGTAGGACAAACATCTTGATGATTGTAGCACAAGATTAAAAATGATTCGATCTTAATTATGAGAATGGTAAAATTTCAACTTGTGTCATGAGTCATGACCCAAGTCTACACCCCAGTCAAGATACGGTACATGAAACCTTAAGTGATCCCAAGCTAACCCTTGGCATAGCACATCTAAGAACATCACATGAAAATTCAAGCGGAAGCTATAAACTATATAACTGAAATAAAGTTCAAGAATAAGTCTATTTCAACTAAATACTAATATCTTAAAGCCTCTAAACTGAATGACATATTTTGCCAGGACAAGACCTCGGATTTCTTGAAAGCTAACGCAATTGAAGTGAATAAAATCTACTGGCAAATAACTTAAGTCCTCTGAATGTGAGGAAGACTCACCATAATGCTGAAAGTAGAGGAATTTAGTGGACCGTCTTTCCGCAAATCTGAATCAAGGTGCTGAAATATATATCATAAAACGATGTAGTGTGAAGTAGAATCAATACATTGAATGTATTGGTATGCAGGGTAAGGACTAAGATCATCAATTATACAAGCAACTGAATGAGCTATAAATATGAACATGAGCTATATACAAAAACTACTTATTTTGTCATTCCTATGATTAAAAGGATTCAACGAATAAGAATTGAAAGTCAAAACTCTAACATATGACATGATATCACAGAAACAAAAATGTATATCTGAGACCATATACTGAAAGAATGCATATCTAAAAATTATTGTCACGATCCAAAAATAGACGTGATGACACTTGTCTATCCCACCATGATAGGTCAACTTGAACCCAACAATACGAAAGGAAAAACAGAAATAAACCAATAATAACATAAGCGTGGAAAATTTAGTCATTCTCAAATACCATGAAAATGTGGTTGTCACGTGTACAAGCCACCAATATATAAAAATAGAGTTTGAAGGATAAATACAAGTTTCAAATGTCCTAGTCTCTCAAATAGACCAATAATATATATAAGGAAAAGGAAGGCCTACAGGCATGACAAGAAGATATCTCTCAAGTATCCATAGAAAGCCTTGGACTTAGAAAGAAGGAGGGTAATCACATAGATCTGAGCTCAAAACTTACATAAGTGTAGAAGCAAGGAGTGAGTACCAAACAACACAGTACCTAGAAAGCAACCCACTAAACACAAGGTAAAATTAGCTAGAAAACGAAAATTCCTTTCATCTCAACTGAACTGCCACAACTATAACCTGCACAGAAATCAACCCAACCTAACTGTTCACGATATAACGTCCACAAGATTTAATAGTGACAGTCCAACAATTATATTTCATCAAATTACAGGTGTCAAGTTCATCAATCACAATAATCAAGTTCATCAATCACAAATATCAAGGTCATCAATCACAAATATAAAAGTCATTAATCACAATAATCAATCTTAATAATATAATCAAGTTCATTATTTACAAGTATCAAATTGGGATCTATAAGAAACACCTATAGTCTAGGTACTCACCGACAATAACCTAGGCATCAATAACACTCGTTGGTAATGATCTCAGCATCAACAAAACTCACCAGTAATGGCCTTAACATCAACAACACTCATCAGCATTGACCTCGACATCAATAATATTCATCGGTAATGACCTCAACATCAATAACACTCACTGACAATGACCCAAACATCAATAACAGTATATCTCATCACAGTGTTGCAGAACCAAATCTAGGCATCAATAACACTCGATGGTAATGATCTCAGCATCAATAAAACTCACCAGTAATGACCTCGACATCAACAACACTCACCAACATTGACCTCGGCATCAATAATATTCATCGGTAATGACCTCAACATCAATAACACTCACTAACAATGACCCCAAACATCAATAACAATATTTCTCATCACAGTGTTCCAGAACCAAAGGAAATAGGCATGTTCACACAATAATGAGATATGACAATTTCAAGTAGTTCACATCTACAACAACACTATCAAGCATCTCATCAATCACCAATTCAGTATAACACTCAAAGCAATTCACACTACTCAGTACAATATTATCAACACGTTGCCTTTTCTATTAATCTCATTTCTATCAAATTCAATTTGAGAAATTAACCCATCATCTCATTTCCATTACGTACTTTCCTACACAAACAACAAGGAGGGTTCAAGATTTTACGAGTTTTAACAAGGTTTAGAAGTTTAGTTTCCTTAATCAATCACAAATCAATTCAAGACTTGAGCTTTTCCCTTTCGAACGATATTCAAATCAGCACAATCTAGTAAAAAAAGTATTCAAAATGAGATTTTAAAACTAACAATACCCATATCAAGTAATTTGAGTAAATGAGTCTAATCGACTCAAGAACCTGATTCTGAAAATAAGGTTTGACTATGAAAATTGTTACATAAATATGACACTCAAAGCATTTGGAATCCATTGGTGAAAACCATTTCGAAAATGGAGTTGTTTCAACTCATAATCACCATTTCTTGTCAATGCTCAAGTTCATGAAAAACCCCAAGGTTTAGATTCAAAATAGCAATTTAAGTGATAATTTTTTTCCATAATCATGGAGTAATAATGAAGGGGAGTTAAATTTGGAATGTAAATGAAGACATGTGAGTGGGACATGTAGACTCTCTCAAAGATTAATGAAGACTTTAAGAGTTAGTATTAAGAAGAGAGCGAAGATACGATTTGAAAGAATGCATACGGGACAAAGAACGAAGAAGAAAAGGGCCTGGCGACCCTGGCGCAGCAGTGGCGCGTCGCGCCAGCCCCAAAAGTACTAGGAGTACTTTGGGGTGCACTTCTGGTGCAGGGTGCCGACCCTCCTGACGCTATGGTGGCGCATTGCCCCAGCTCGAGCCTAGAAATTTGACAAATTTTCTTGTTCAATTTTAGGTCCTAACTTATCTAGAATCGATTGGTTTCTTCCAAATTCTCTTTAATTCATAAACCAAACAAAATTTCACTAAAATCTCACTCAAATTCTATCAAGAAACACCACTCATTCGCAAGACCCTCACCTCAAGAACTCAAAACTTTCATTGATAAAGAATGGGGCTAAAACTCAAGAACTCTTCAAGAATCTTTACATAAACAATTTCATGGATGAATTAATGGAAGAACTACATGATTAGCGTGAGGACGAACAAGTCCATCACTATGGGAAACTTCACATACCTGGAAAGAACGAATGTTCTTGGCGAAAATCCTCAACACTCGAATGAATTTTTGAAAACCTTCTTTTCTTCTCTTTGAAACTTCGCCCTAAAATTCTAAGTGTTTAGGAATATTCAAAATATCTTAGCGTCCGATTAGACCCCTAAATTGGGTGAGTAAAACGTGGTTAAATCGAGTGGGGTAATGAAAAGACCAAAATACCTCTTTCTCAAACGGATGAAAAGCCTTAACTAGAGAGGCTTCACTTAGTTGACCATAACTTTTTACTCGGAGCTCGGAATTTAGCAAACTTAGCGGCGTTGGAAGAGGACTCAAATACCTTCAATTTGATATATCATGGGACACTTAAATAAGTATGTGCTAAAATATATGACCGTTTTAAGTTGACCTGGAACTTAAAACCTGATACTGAGGTGTTACACTGATCTTCCCTCTAAGAAAATGAACTTGTAACACCTCAGACTTTGATCAGTTTTGAGTTTTGGGTCAACTTCAATCAACTATATCTTTTAGCACATAAAGAGATAGATGAGGCCTCCTTGGGGACCATCAATGATTCTTGAGTGCCGGCCATGTCCATGGTGTAGGCTCGGGTCGTGACAGAACTGGTTAAAGAGAAGGATAAATGTGCTTGTTTAGATATGGGGGGATCAAATGACTTTGTTTTTGCTTGTTTCTTTGCCTTCACATTGGTTCCTATTTATAGAAAATTGGATTTTTTAAATTTTTGAAAAGTTTCAATTACAAGATTCATAGCTGTTAGTGATAGCTATATTTTTAGCAAAAAACTAAATGAGATTGAATAAAATATCAAGTTACATGCTATCACATTTAAATATATGCAGTTTATGGCTCCGATCTTGTGATGACCATTTTTATAAGTCAAATATTTCTTATTAGGAAAATTATTTAGTGTTGTCTAAATTCAAGTAAGTTCTATCCACAAAAAGATCACATAAAGTATAACAAATGGATTTTCTTACTCATTCTATTCATCAAGAAAGGCAAAAAAATTATACAATTTAATTTATGAATGTACAACATTAAAGTTTGAAATAAACTACCCTTTTATGTCTTGGTTAAGAATTTTGTAATATCAATTTCGACAATATTTGAATATGTGTAAAACTAATAAACAATTTCATGATTACCTTTTAAGAAATACAAATGTTTATGCCTTATAAATGCTAACTAAACAAAAAAACTGTTTATTTCTAATGCAAGGGGTACATCATACTATTTCATAGTTTGAAAAGAAGTTTCTTAGTTGGCAGCAATACCTATTTGTTCCTTAAACAAAATAAGATACGAAGTTTAATGACTTCAACTTGAAATATGTGTAGTTTATGACTCGAGTCTTATGATGACCAAAGTTTTTCAGTCCAACATTTCTTATCATGAATATTTGTAGTTTGGGATCATTTGCGGTATTTGTTTGGGCTAGGTAGTGCC